TATATCAGTTGGACACGGGGCAATTGGACACAGTCCAATCACAAGTCGCTGTTCCAAGGGACCCTACAAATGTCTCTAATCACACGGTGCTGTGATTGGTTGTGTCCAAATGCAACGTGTTCAAGTGCACCGCTCCCATCTACAATAGGGCTGCGTTCAGGGAGACGCTATTTAGCGCTATGAGCGTCCTCTGTCCTTGTTCAACTTTCAGGAACAAACAAGGACAGAGCACTCTCACAGCGTTAAGCCCATTCTACAATTGCGTAAACGTGGTTGTAAGTGGTTGTATATGATTACGACAACCAATCAGAATAAAGCAATCAGTAAATAAAACATTCGGATTGGTTGACTCTTACGGTCACGACTACGCTTACGCAATTGTAGAATGGGCTTTACGCCCGTATCAGACTACCGACTACATAGGCCGACCCGACTGCCGACTACGACTGCCGACTTTCAATGGACTAATTACAGTGAAGCGCTGACTCGATGCCTCACTGTGATTGGTCCATTGAGAGTCGGCAGTCGTAGTCGGCAATCGGGTCGGCCTGTGCAGTCGGTAGTCTGATACAGGCTTTAAATAACGTCTCCTCGAACGCAGCCTAATAGCGAATTCGGTTGCTTGCACTAGTGTGCACTGAGTGCGCACTAAGGCTTGTTCATAGTATGTTATTATATTTAAAGATTATCTTAAATAATTCTCAAATAAATTCTCAAATATTTTTAACCATAATATGATATGTATAACATCCGTACGAATCATTTTATTAGTTAAAATGTTTTTAAATATGTATTTAAGACACGATCTTAAATATAAGAATGTACTGTAAACAAGCCTTAATGCGCACTCAGTGCGCACTAGTACAAGCTACCGAATTCGCTATAAGTGTAGTAAGCTTTAAGCTTTAAGAAATTGACCAATCATAATCAAATTATAGAAGAATAATCAATCATGATTGGTCAATTTCTTACAGCTAAAAGCTTACTACACCTATTGTAGATCAGGACTAAGCCACAATATTGGAAGGAAAGGGAAGGAAGAACAAAGTTGCAGCACTAGTTCAGCACAAAAGAACAGGCCTACTAAGTGCCGCGAGTTGAGTAAAACGACTAACTGGATATATTCGGATAATTCCAACATTCTGTTCAATCCACGTGCATTATCGAAGAAAATACGAGTTGCAATTATCTCGAAGTATTATTTAATCGTATAGTGTAAACGTAGTTTCAAAATGCGTTTTATACTGCACGATTAGAGACAAGAATTGAGAGACAAAGAAGTTAAAAAGAGATATAAAAGGAAAATTGCAGAGACACACGCTCACTCACATTTTTTTAGACTCATGTTTTGATTCCGGCGTATCTAAATGCAATTATAGATTTTTATAGAGCATGTGTGTGTCCGTAACTTTGGATTATACGTTGTTTATATTTGAAAATTGGTTATTATATTTACTGACACTGCAAGTTGCATAGAAAATTGTGAAAAGTACGATGGCTGATTCCTCAGGTAACAAATCAAACGCTTTTAGATTGTTCTGTAAAGAATATCACCTAAAGTAACTCTATTTTTATCCTTATTTTTCACAAAAACTCGCCAGGAGATGTACCAAAAGAAAGCTCTTCAAAAGTAAATCATTAATGGTTAAAGATATATTATATGTTACAATTTGTAGTTTTGGAGATATTGTGGATCAGAGATTCTATGTAGGCTAGCAAAAAGTGTAATTATTGTACTCAAAAATTGCTACTAGTGAAAAGAAATCTTCTATAGAAGGATTGAATGCTATAATGACTGAAGGTTATAAAAAATTCTGCTGATAGCAAAGAATTGACTACTGATAGCGAAGAATTGACTGCTGATAAGGGTGATAAGAAAGCAGTTTGCTCAGTTATAGACATTAAAGGCTTGTCTAAGAAATAAAAATCCCATAAAGCAGCAGTAAAATATTTTAATATGGAACATTGTGTTGTATTCATGGAACAACCATGTGACTACTGTAATATTTGAACCAAGGACTTTTCTATGCATTGGCAATGGTGAATTAATAATAATTTGCTTCAATTTTTTAAATCTATAAAAATTAACTTCGATCTGGTATATCACAACTTAAAATGTATTTATGAAAAATAGGGATTTTTTTTAGGAAAAATAGGGATAGTGGTATTCTTTGAGTTTAATCCTACTCATGTGTACATAATAATTTTTTAATTGGAATGAAACTTTAAAATACAAAGCATGTTCCTTTGATCGGAGAGATATTAAGCAATGTTTGTAGAACATTTAATATTCTTTAATTTGGTGTCTTTTCTGTTCTTTGTAATAATATAATTCTTTTATCTAATTTTTTGCTGTTTGAATATTACTTTATATAATTGTATCTTATCAAACTTATTTGTTATATTTTTATTTGATAAAAGTATAACATTTATCTTAAGAATATATACATTTCTACAATAACAGACATGAGTAATCCAGCATATAAGCATCATACGTACCAAGCATGTTTATATATCAAAATATTCTGGCAAAATATTCTGACATTCTTTCTGTTTGACTAATTTCTTATTTCATTTTAGCCAAACACTGGCAAAATAATCTATGAAACATATGGCAGACAAGGAATCTTTGAATTACCGTACACCTTGTACGGATATTAACGACGAGATTGAAGGTCTTAATGAAAGGCTGTTGCAATTATTAAGTGCACAAAAAGTCTCGTCGCCAGATGCAACAGCTAAGAACCAATCATTGTGTAATAGTAGATTAGGAAATAATAGTAGTTCTAAGGTAGAATTAGAGGCATCGGCTTCTCCATTGTTCAGTCATTGCAGATATGATTGTTCTTTTATGCATCATGACAGCCCAGTTAATATGCCACCTGTTAATATGCCACCAAATTATCTTCCACCTATCGGTGTATTCTGGGACATTGAAAATTGTCAAGTAGGTTTATAAATTTCTTTCCTTTGAAAGAAGTGATAATGCATTTTATAATCATATTATATTTCATATTAGGTTCCTAAGGGCAGATCCGCCATAGCGGTTACACAAGTAATTAGGGACAAATTTTTTAGTGGCTATAGAGAAGCAGAATTTATTGTAGTTTGTGACGTTCAAAAGGAAAATAATCAAATCATACAGGAACTGAACGACGCTCAAGTAAAAGATAACTGCACAGTTTGATTCAGTATTAACATCAATAGATTTGTTATCCTTGTTATCTTTTCTATGTTTGTGTTTATTAGGTTAATTTAATACATGTAGCTGCTACATGCAAAAACGCTGCTGATGAGAAACTTAAACAATCCATCAGGAGATTTGCTGACATTCATGGTAGCCCAGCAGCTATAATCTTAATATCCGGCGATATTAATTTTGCCGCTGATCTCAGTGATTTACGTCATAGGAAAAGAATTCATGTGATACTGCTGCATAAAAAGAATACCTCAGAAGCATTAATATTATGTGCTAACGAACATTATGACTTTACGGAGCTCATGGAACCACTGCCGTCCAGAACTCCAGCAAAGGTATGAGAAGACTGATATCAGAAGATTATATAATATTTGTAATAGGATCTTCACTTGAAACTGCTGGTACAGATTATACTCTAGTCCTTCTGTATCAATGTAATAAATTATATATATTAAGAGTATATATGTAATATTATTTTCTTGTTTTTAATCTCCAATCATATGTATTGTTTTACGTTTGTATTTGTTCAATATGTATCTATAACATGCATTTACAACTAATTAATATGTATATGTCAAGATGTATTTGCATGCTTAATTTGTCCTATATAGTCTCACTTTATCTATCAAAATAATTGAACACTTTCAGGGTGTTGAATCCTATGACCTTCTAGTTAGTAACCTTCCTGATGAAAAGGATGTTATAGTCATTAAACGTCGTCTTAAGCAATTATCTGATAACTGTGGTGGTCGTGTGGTGGATGTCCAGTCAAATACAGCCATTGTACGCTTTACATCGCAAAGTTCTGCAGACAGGTATGTATATTTTATTAATGTTAAAACTCACTCTTTTTTCTCCCCATCCGTATTAATTCTATCATTACTTGTGGACAATCATACATATGGATACATTCAATTTCTGTTCAAACATCCCGCTTCTATTTCGTGTAAATCAGCCTTATATATCCTCTATTCTATTATTGGAGCAATATGTATATCAAAAAAAAGAAGAACGAGTAATTATATGTTGATGTAGTAGGGATGAAAACATAAATAAGAGACATTTCAAATGTCAGGCAACAATGTAACGAACAGCAGTATCTAAGAACATTGTACAATTTTGCTCACTATTATTACCGTTAATACATATTAAAGTTTATTTTAAAAGAGGTTATATATCAGGAATTATTATAAAAAGATTATTTTCAGTAATATATTATTGGCGTATTTATTATTTTACTTTAAGTGTATATCTCGATGTTAACTTGATGTGATGGCTATACTTGGGGTAAGTTGCACGACACACGTATAAGTGTGCGTGCGTTATTTTTCTCATACATATTACTGCAAAAAAATTTGCATTTAATACCAAAAAATCTGTATCTCGCGTGCGGTATAAACTTTCATTTAGAATTTCGTCATAGTAATTATACACGATATTGTTTATAATTTAACTCTTGTTTAGATTTCGTATATTCTTACATCTGCAAGGTCATTTATAAGTGCTATTGCCCGTTCTGTGTATTGAAGTACTCTGCTTCTCTTCCGACAGATCATATAATAACACAATGTGATCTTTCTTTCCCTCTTTTTTTTTCGATAGAGCTCAGAAGCGTATGGACGGAGAATATGTTCTTTCGTCGAAAATATCTGTAAGGCATTATAAAGAAAAAGGGAATACAATCAAAAACCAAGGTATGATTATTGGTAAAATTCTTCTTGAGTAATATAAACTGTGATGTACGATGGTTGAATTTAATGTAATTAATAGCATCCTTGCAGGAAGTATTGTAACGCGTAGCCGGGCGGTTAGTGAGTCTGAAATTGTTGCTAACTCCTCTAAGCAAATGTATGGTAGTGCGGGCGCCTCCGTGTCAGGGACAAGAACCCTGCAGTTTCCACATTATCAATCGTCCTCACCTGTAGTGGGTGCTTACTCTACTTTCAATGCTCATTGTGCACCTGTCAATACCACGTCAGGGTAAATTTTTGTGTGTTCAATCTTTTATTTAAATTTTATATCCGATAATTTAAAAAAATTTTCTACATGATGGATAATCCGAGAAAGAGCTCTGGAGTCGCGAGTGGATTTTTATCCTTGCTGATTCGGGCTATGACACAAGTCTTTGATCTTATCTGATAGTATATTAAATAATATTTATTTGTTGCAAAATAGTGTTTCAGTGGAAACACGTTTTTAGTTATTTTATTCCATGTTTTACAGAGTGATACAGCAACCTCCAATATTTTATGGAAGATCATATCCAAATAATAGTGATGTGGCTTTTAATAGAACATATAATGATCTTGGTAGAGTACAGTCGCCATTGATTTGGCAAGTTCCAGGACCTCAATCGTATGGCCAATTGTGGGAAGAACAATACAAAGTTAGTTTCATGCGGATAAGTATGTAAATTTGAAATATAGCCATTGTATTTCTTCTACTTGCTTACTTTTGTGTGTGTGTGTGTACTGTAATTTTATTTAATCTCAATCTGTTAAAATTATAAAATTAATTTATAATATTATTCATATAATAAAATTTTTCATACGTAAAAATATTTAATACTGAATAATTATTTAAAGATGGAAAAGCAGAAGTTAGGGAAGCGAGTTCATGTCTCGCAGGTTCGAGACAATAATATTTCTAGTACTGCAATCTCACGTACTCCCGAAGGCCTTAGACGCGTTAGAGGTACGCATAGTTCATTTGTTCATACTTCAGAATGGATTGGAGGACGACAGTTAGCTGTCCCGCCTAATTATAATGCCAGTGGTTCGTAATCTATTTCATATTTTCTCGTATTACAATTACATTGTGATAACGTTATCTATATGCTGTTTATAAATTGTAGGACAAACAAATTCTTTTAAACGGCGTAGTCCATCCCCATTGTACGATACGCAAATTAGAGATAAGAATGTATGGAATGGTCAGGTATGTATATAAGTATAACCTTTATTATTTAACTTATTATTTGTTTAATAATATATTATAACAAATATTTTTGTTCCATGTATTTAGAATCAACAACAAATTTCTTCACGTAACAATAGAACACCATCACCTTATGAAAGTAACATGTTACAAGGAACAGGACAACATAATCAAACTTCACGTTCACACCTGAGTGATGCAGAAAATGAGGAAGTAGAGGTATTGTTTCTGGTTATTTTCCTAAAAAAAGGAAATGTTCTCTAATCTGCGACATATCCTCCGTATGTCTCTGAATTTTTTTATTACCGCAGAAATTGTTTAACCCTACAAATAATCGCACTGCATCCGGCACAAATAACGGCGCTAATACAACTATTGAATTACAAGTAACGAATTTGGATCAGAACATCGATACAAAGGACATGAAACGAATTCTCTCGTCTGTATTTGCAGAACACGTAACAGTAAGTTACTTAACTCGAAAAAGCTATTAATCCACAAGAGTTTAAAGCTAATTAAGTTAAACAGGTGTTAACTTACTTGACTGTTATATGTAAAATTTCTGGAAAATATTTATAATTTGTCTTTCAGGTATTACATATTTCTGTATTTATGCAATCGGACGGTAACTTCGCAGCTAGCGTCAGAGTACCTTCGTTATCGGACGCACAATATGCAATCTCGCAGTTGCATCGCCGTAAAGTAGGCTACAAGCGCATTTTGATATCGTACGCTCACACCGGTGGTCCGAACCCGCAGCTTATTCGTGCACAAATTGTAATGCTCCTGCAAGATGTTCCAGGACATAAACTCCCACTATTCAAGTTCCGCGAGATGTACGAGAGCCGGTTCATGATTTCCATAAGCGTATCCGAATTATACAAAATGAAGGATGTATGCCTAATTACGGAAGATACAAGTGGCAGAATGGTTTCGCTCAATCCGGATCACAGGAACACACCGTCACCATGTAATACGACACAGGTGTGTAATTGCATTGTATCTTTATACTAATATTATTCATAATTACATATATAAGATGATGTATAGAAGCCGAGTCTGAGCTTTTCTGGTAAAGGTAGAGCTGCTAGCTCCCTTCATGAGAAGCTTTGATCATACTGTGAAGCGTAAACATTTTGTGCTGAATGAATATAATATACTATTACGACGGGAGATTTTATTTAGATGATACATTAATAAGAGACATTGTATAATACTTGCAGGAGGGACAAGTCAAATTGCCATATTGCACGATTCACACTTCAAAACCGTTAACGTCTGATAAAGGTTGGGCAGAACAGGAAATGGCATCTTTACCCAATGTAAAAATTTCCTTGAAAGTTCTTGAGAGTCGTATGCAACAATTACTAGCATCACACAATAGCATTCTACCTCTACCAAGGTATATTTTACTTTAATTTACATTTTAAAAGAATGCTGATGTCGGTAACGAAGTCGAACAATGTCGATAACGCATTACTAAACAATCATGCTATTTTTTCGCTCCTTTTCATATTTCTTGTACATATAGAACTTATGTAAATATGCGTTACTTTGTTATACTATATTCAACGGAAAACCTAACCACGCACGTATAGAAATCTTTTTGCAAACTTTTCCAATATTAAACTTTTTAATTCAGATGCGAAAATACAGAAATCTTGAGAAAGAAAGAAGAAATCTTACATTGAAAATAATTTTTTTTGTTCTTGTCACATATTAAGCAATATTTCTATTTATTTCTGTACGTATTTTCATCGTGTAAATACATTTGTAATTCTGTATAATCAATATGATGTTAACTTTGCAGAAAAATGTCAGTATTCTGTCGGTAAAGTTTTCAGCTTCAGTATCTCCTTAAGGATAATATTTGGGGTAATATTTGCTTAATCCAAAAATTTCGCAGCTTACAGCGTACATACCGAAAATATGGATGCTCTAAACAGAAAAATTTTAAAGATTTCTGTACTTCACATCTGAATTCAGAAACTTAAGAATATCCGAAAAGTTTGCACACTTCTGCACATGTGTGATTAGGTTTTCTGTTCAATATAATAAAACTATTAAAACAAAAACAAAAAGTAAAACAAAAATACATATTTATGTAAGTTCTGTATATACAAAAAATATGAAAAAAATAGCGTAATTGTATTAGTGTTATTGTATTAGTGATCATTTAAATAAGTTCTGGTTTAGATAGCTAATAAACTTAGTTATGCCAATAGGCTGGCAATAAACTTTTAATGCGTAAAAGCATTTGTAATTCTATATAATCAATACGTAAACCTTGCAGAAAAATATTAGTATTCTGTCAGTAAAGTTTTCTCAGCTTCAGCATCCCCTTAATAGTTTTGTACGAATAATAATATATTTAGTAGAAAGAAGCTTGCAACACTTTTACTTCGACAAATTTCAGAATACATTTTGTAACCTGATAAAAAAATTTATTTTCTAAAAATTATTTAAATTTATTAAAATTATTAAATTTTTTTTCTATTGCATACCGATACGTTGCTAGGCTCATAAAAAAAAGAAGTGCAATCATATTTTTTCTACTGACTGTATATAGAGTTATATACAATAATTTAGTAATATATACAATAATTAACATGTTCTCTACCAACGTTACATATGTGCAACAGCAAACATTTTTTCTATGTTTATGAAACTAATTGGTTTACAGTCAATTTTATATAATTGCAAAAAGAGTCCTACAATAAACTGTAGCGTTAATATTTACACTTTTCTAACACGAATAACGAGCAGATTATAATCGAAATCTATTAAATAATTTTAGTCTACCAAATTGTTACGAGGCTGAGTTTAAGGAACCATTAGAGATTATAGATAGTGGTGTACCTTTGGAACACTTGGTATCGTGCTTATCATCAGTGGAATTGAGACAGGATATCGGAAGCGTGAAATATATCGTATGGATAGGAAACAAAAATGTTGAGAATCACGAAGGTAATTTTTTTCTATAAAAATTAATCACGTATCTACGATGTTTATCGAGGTTTGTGCAGACAATAATATATTGTTTCTTTCAGAAACAAAGTGTGTGAGTCCATCACTTGCCAATCAGTTGGCCCTTTTCAGTCGCGAATTGGTGGATCTTCTGAAAACCGCCTCGCACTGCCAATTACCCTTTAATCGATTTATACCAGCGTATCATCATCATTTCGGACGACAATGTAGAGTTGCTGATTACGGATTCACTAAACTAATTGATCTGCTAGAAGCACTTACACATACAGTTCAGGTATGTAAATTAAGAGAAAGTTTCAAATAGCCAAAGAGATAGAAGGTTTTCACGAATTTGTTTCAAAGAAATGAATAAAGATATCAACAAAGGTTTTGATCATACTATTTATCATTGTTTTAAGTATAAAAAACTACCTAAAAATGAAATTAAAATTCCATCCAGACTTTTTGGCGCAGTGTCACCAGACACCTCTAACTTGCATGCAACATTGCACCTCGTGTAACAATCGAAAACAAATGGAACAAGAAAATTTGACTGTATTAAATTTGGTGGAGAATGAACATAAGTCCTTTGGAAAATTTCCAAAATTTTTCTTGAGACATAAAATAAAAAAGAAACAGGCAAAATTACTTACAACTTGTAATTGACAAAGATTCATCCTCCAGTAAATTTAACAGTTTTTCAATTTTCTTATTCCGTTTTTTTTTCAGATTATTACATGAATTTCAGTTACACTTTAAATAACACTTTCATACTTAAAACAGTGACAAATAATATGGTCAAAATTCTATAATAATATCTTTATTCATTTCATTGAAAGAAAATTAATAAAAATTTGCTATTTTTTTTTACTAAACCGGAACTTACTTACCTAATATGAGTGATCATGTGTATTGTAAGGTAATGGGTGAGGGCAATAAGCGAGTGGTTACTTTGTCGCATCGTGCGCAAGTACGACGTTTCACGTCAGATTTACTGCGAGTGTTGAAGTCAAAAGCGAGCAAGCAAGTAGCACTCTCGGAATTTCCAACTGTTTATAGCAGAGTAATAGGTAAATATACGTACGTTTTATTTATTTTCGTTCACAATTGATAGCAAGATAATCGTTATTATACCTGTTGTTTGTAGCAAAACCGTGGGATATTGTAGATTATGGCGTATGCGATATCGATGATATTCTTGGCGAGGTATCTGAAAACACGGTCGTTGTAACATCTATCGACGGCGGCGACAAAATGATAGCTATTCCTAAACGCGAGCAGACCGCAGAGGAAGTAGAACGCACCAAACTGTTCGCTAGAGAAGTAATAAATATGTGAATTATTAAACTTTATACAAAATTTAATTATACTCTGTCGAACCATATTTATAGGTTTAAACTGATTTTTTATAAATTGACAGGTTGTTGAATTACTACAACACGCACCTCAATGCAGAATGCTGTTCAACAAATTTGTACCATCCTACCATCATCATTTTGGTCATCAGTGTCGTGTGTCGGATTACGGATTCACTAAATTAATTGAATTATTCGAAGCGATCCCAGATGTCGTTAAGATCGAGGAAGTGAATGGAGGTGAGCGACAGATATCCTTAACTGAAAAGGAAGGTCTCAAAGTTTTGGCTGAGCAAATATCAAAATTAGTGATGCGCACCAAAGGCGGCCTTAGCATTTCGAACATCGCGCAAATGTTCTCGCATCAGTTCGGCTACTCTTTGCGTCCAGAATTATTCGGCTGCAGTTCTATGTTACAACTTATGCAGAAACTGGGAGATACTATTAAGGTAACAGAATACAATATATTTTAAGTATATATTTTAAGATGTAATAGATGTATAATGTGTGTGTGTACAAAACTCAAATCGTTTGATATCATCTGATTATAATAATTCCTTTTTTTTATCAACGCAACTTTATTACAGATCATAGATTTGGCCACAGGACCCGCTATCATCACAATAGATAAATCGCATTTACAACAAATAATCCTTCAGTGCCGACGTATATTGATGGATCAACCCCAATATAAAATGCCTATCAGAGAATTTCTGCGCCAATACTCTCAGTATTATTTGAAACAGTGTAATTTAAGCGAGTTTAAAAAGGATTTAGCCAATGTTGTTCAGGTATGTGTTGAAATCTAATGGTGACTGCAAAATAGCAAATATATAATATCTTGAAGTTATGTAAGAATATTTATTTGTAGTTTATAATGGTAAACAATGAGCAGTTTATCGAATTGACACCATTACATCGCTTTGCCTGCGATGTTTGCCGTGTAATGATGAATTGCGGTGGTACATTAAACTTATCTCAATTTGATGTGGCATATTCAACCATCATAGGCGCACCTTGTAAACCCGTCCAGTACGGTTTCCCAACGCTGATTGCACTACTGCAAGCGTTACCATGTACTGTAACGATAAAAGACACACGCAAAAAAAGGGGAATCATTTATTTAAATAAAAAAATAATTTGTAAGTAATAGTTGTAAGTAATAGTAATATATACAGAGTGTTCCAGAAAGATTTTTTTCCGTAATTTTTGTGGAAACGTAGAACAGACTGAACATAAAATCTCATGCCGTTTTGTGATATTCGCAATAATAGTAGAGATATTAATTTAAAAAAAATTGGTGAATATCACGCGCGATATGGTAGATGAATTGTAATGGCATCTGTTGTGTATTCATTAGATTGAACTAAACAAAAAAATACTCTACTATTTTGCAAATGACTACATAGATTTTTAGATATTAATTTAAGAAAACTTGTGCATTATCGCGTACAATCATGTAACAATCTTCTTTCATTAATAACTAAAAATTTACATAATTATTTGCAAAATGCTAGAGAACTTTTTTGTTTAATTTGATCTAATGTATAAGCATGCAACAGCATACATTGTCATTAGCTAGCTCTATCTACCATATCGCGCATAATTATTCACTAATCTTCTTTAATTAATATCTATTATTATGAATATCGCAAAACAGTATAGGACTTTTATGTTCACCTTAATCCGTTCTACATTCTCACAAAAATTACAGAGTAAAATCCGAGACACTTTGTATACATAGGTAGTGAATTATTCTTCGAACTTTTTTACTGCGTTGCGTGATATGCATATGCACGCATTTATTTATAGTTCATGTTTCATATTGTAGAAAATGCGTACACATATGTGTATTATAGAACGCAACTCTTTTTGATATTAGGCAATGTTTGATCGGAATGTTTCTTTCTTTTAAGCCGCGGCTGACATGCTGTTACCATCGTACAAACCAGTTTCATCTTATCATGATACGGATTCCAGCAATGATTCGTTTGAAAGTGACTCTTCTTATCACGTAAACATTTCCAACGCATCGAGCATGATAGATGATCCCGAGAAATGGTTCGAACACGTAACAAACATTAATTCGTGGAAAGCTAAAGATGAGAGAACTTTTTGGTCCAAGGACTGTGACAAGCATTGGAAAAACTTGCAAGGTATAGAGGATCACTCGATTAACTGGCCGATATCGGAAAACAGCGGTGATAGCCTCATGAAGAGCTTGATGCGCACGCCGATTATGCGACACAACTTCCCACCGCCACCGCCTAAGCCTGACTCGCCGCCCGAGGTATCATATTAGCATCGATACTCACTTTCGATACATAATTACTCAAGATGATTGTTGATTAATTAACCGCATTTTCTCACAGGATGCAGTATCTAAAGGAGGTTGGAAATGTTCATTGTGGATGTCTCCAGGCAAATTTCCATATCCGCAGGATGAACATTCCACGAATGTGCAGGTACGTTTTCTCTCCATCTTTACTCGATGCTTTAAGTTACATCTGTAACTAATATATCTCAGAAAAGAAAAATGAAATGTGAATGTCATAATGTTATCTTGCGTATTCCTTCAGGTTCCGCCGTTAACTCTGCCAAGCTGGAATCCAATTACGTCCAACGATGATGCGTCGGACTTGCTATCGCCGACCAAAAATCTATTACCCGCTGCCGCGAATCCCTTATATCCGCATACCTCTCCTTACTACGCAAAGTGCAACACTGTTATTGCGCCTCATCCGTCTGAACTGCCACTTCCTTCACTATCATTAACGCCCAAGAAAATGGCAGATAATCAGAAGAAAAATGCCAGGATGTATCTCAATCTCGCGAGTTCCGATAGTGACAATAATACTGTCGATGATGACGAAAACAGCGATACTCACAGCACTTCCAGCAAACCTTGTTAGTAGCCGTATTATTGAGGAATAATAATAGCTACGCTGAAGTATTCTCTACGTTGTATTCATTGTATTTCTTATGACGAATTTGGATGCACTAGTGCGCACTGAGTGCGCACTAAAGCTTGTTTACAGTCCGTTCTTATATTTAAAGTCGTTTTAAGTATATCTTCAAATACTTTTAGCCAAAAAAACGATACGGATATTGTACAGATTATTTTATTGATTAAGAAATATTTAAAGATGTATTTAAGACAATCTTTAAATATAAGAACAAACTGTGAACAAGCCTTAGTGTGCACTCGGTGCACACTAATGCATCCAATCGAATTCGCTATTAGCTGTGTTATACTTTATACTAGACCGTGATATACACGATTATGCATTTTAAAATATGACTGTGTTTATTTCAGTAGTGAAAGGGAAGAGACGTCTGGCGGCCCAATTCAATCAGCCGATCGAGTCATAAACAAAAAGTACACATGTATATATAGTGAGTGAGAAAGAGAGAAAGAAAGTGAAATACGTGATAAGTTCAGAATCGGAAAACCGGTCGAGTCAACGTTTCCGTAGATCACCACACACATTTAAATGGGTTAAATTATACCTATATACTGTTCCATGAATGGTAGGTACCACACTTTATTTATACTCGAAATTTACAATAAATTTGTGTATAGATTAAATGTGTATGCAAACCGACAAAGAAAAATGATGAGTTAACAAGTTATTTTCAAAATGTATGAAAATATACATCGAGCCGGGTCAGAATCATAACATAACGCGTTTATAGTGAGTGACATGTGCTGACGGTATTGCATATAGAACGTATAAAGCATTTTTCGTACTGTGATATAGGATATAAAATAAGCGAGATGATAGTAATAGTACATCAGGAAGGAAGCTTGGAATGGCAATAATTTATCTTTAGGCAAATTGCATACACACATAGAGACGCATGACCCAATGTAATTGATTTTTCAAATTATATAATTATATAATTATATCTTTACAATGAAATTATATAATTATATTTATCTCTTGTTATATTCTACTTAAACACGCTATCTTATTTAATATTATACTTTAATCTATTATTTTTATTTGTATGGTATTTACAATCAATTTACACCTGATTGTTTTAACTATTTGTATTAACAATACATATCATGGCATAATTTGTACCTGTTTTTAATTTTATAATTGTTCACATAAAGCTAAAAAGAGGTCAAGCTAGATTCCATACTTGTCGTAATACATTAACGTTCCCTTGTGGATAAATTATTGGACCACTCCTTTCGATTTGCCTACATTCATACTATCAGAGAAGAAAAGTGAAAGAGAGATAAAAATTGCATTCATATGACATATTATATGTCTAACGAATTATGCATAATTGTTGCCAATTACAAATTAAATGAACTGGAATTCATTTGTCTACCAATGCACCTTCACTTGTACAGCTATTCATCTTAATCGCCTTACGAATTTCCCATCGATACATTTTTATGGCGCAATGTATAATTTTATTTCGCAAATATGAAAACAAATGTGTTATGAATCTGATGAGATGCAAAATTGGAGTAAGATATTATTATTATTATTATATTATGAGATACAATAAGTTGTCATGTAGATAGAAAGAAACGCAAGAAAAGACATAATTTTATCGTTGGAAAAAAAATTTTTTCGATATTCAAAAATTAGTACTATTATTTAGTATAGCGTAAAAATGATTAAAGAACAGTGTAATGGTGTGCGACACGCGAAACAATTTTAACAAAGATCTTTGCAAGACAAATTCGTCGAATAATGCTAAATATATTGCGATAAATATCACAGTTTTATTCTAAAAGAGACAAAACAAATATAAAGTTTGCACCAAGCATCTCTGTATCAGCAGGCACCGCGCAACTAATTTTTTTCTTGTTCTTTTTCATTCGAGGAGAGTTGTGGCAACTGCGTGATACAGATTTTTTTATAATATTTGGTTAATATGTAGGATGCGTGAGATATAAGCTGCTGAGATATAATCTGAATTCGCTGTTCTCTGAATTGTACAGAAATGAATGTAATGATCTCACTTTTAATCTTATACCTCATGCTCATCATTGATGTGACATGGATACATAATAATTTTGCGGCATGAAATGGCTTATTACGTTGTATCATAAGATTATCACTAAAAGTCATTGCGAGTTTTATGAGATGTAGTAATTGTCGTTTTGTCATCAGATTTAAAATTAAATATATTAGAAATTTACGTGAATTTGAAATATACGCGTAATACTTGTAGTCTCTGCCGGAGATGAAAATTCGCAATGAATTTAGTGACGGTCAGGAATCAGTGTTACGTGGTAATCTAAAGATGGTGATATTTCACGACACTTTTTTTAATACTTTGTTTATTTATTCTTATTAAGAAAAATCGTTTTGTTATATATTGTTTGCCCATGTGTAAGAATCAATCCTATTGTATTTTATATCATTGTGGAAGATTTTGTACGTGTCTTACAGAGAAATTTTTAATTCGTTCAGTCACGCGAGTATCTTATGTTGTGTTAATTGTACTACTATATAAGATATTTCGTGCGGGTAGCTGTTTGCATTATAAATAGTATTGTGTATAATGAATATTTTATATGTATCCAATTCACTTTGGCCATTCCAAATAATGGATGAGTAATTTAGTTAACATAAACACAATATCGAGATAGAAGAAACTGTAAATGCGATCGATGTGTACAATTTTATCGTAATAACAAAGAAAAAAGATATTGTAATGTATAAATCACGGTGGAATCTTCTAAATGAGTGTTTCTTAAATTAATTTGGTATACATGTACAATAGGCATAACGTTTTTATATATTGTACAATGAAGTAAGGAATAAAAAGAATTGGCTCATTCAATATTAAGATTAAATTCTTAGTAATATGCGATGCCATCACGTCATATATCATATGAGACAAGGTGTGTTTTGAGTATTGAAAGAAGCGAAATTGGATTTCTGATAAATTACTTTTATTATTTTTATCTTTTCAATTCGCATTATCTGTACAGTGATGCAAATCTGCCATTCAGATTTGTAATATGCGACTTCATTTCCCATTAAATAACCATCTACAACAGTGGCATAAGTTGCTATACCTTAATCTTTTGTTCTTTCATACCACTACCTACTGGGCCATGACGACGTTCCCAAATCATACGATGTTTCTGCTTCATGTATGCATTTAAGACATTCAAGCCTATACCCATATCACCATCTGCACATTTGAAAATATTTGTGTAGAAATACCAATGCTTGGTTAGCCTCTTGTCTTTTCAACTTGACACTTCTTTCTTTTCTTTTTATCCTTTACAATCAAGACACACTTACATTTCATAAACCAAGCCGCGGCTGCATCCTCATAAATTGCACGTAGCTCATCGCACATGTTTAAGTCATCCATACCATGGTACCAAGCACATTGTTCAAAGCGACTTCTTAGAATAAATAATATTTCATCGTCTACTTTCCTGATATATAATGAATAGATAAAAATAATTAAAATAGAAGCACCACTTTAATATTAATAATTAAAGAGATGAAAGTTTCTATTGTCTATATTTTAATTGTCTATATTTTCTATTGTCTATATTCAAGAAATTTAATTTACTTATCGCGTAAGAATTGACTGTTTGCTTCGGTATAACAGACCACATCATCGTTGTAACATTCGTCAATATTGGGTACGCGACGGTATTTCTGATGATACCATGGATATTTTTTTTGATTCGGCAATACGATTTTTTCTATGATAAAAAAAATCCATTTGGAACACTCCAGATAATCATGACAAACATAACCAAACAAATGATTAGATAATACCTCGGAAATAAGTGATTGGTGCATCAATTATGTGAATTATACTATTAATAAATTTGAATACAAAATTATCTGGCTGTGTCATTGTTTGATAGTGCGTCAAGTAAAATAACAGCAACAATAAGTTTGTCCTTTATGAAATTGTTTTTACGAATTGGCAGTGAGAATTCACGATACTGCACTGATGTATTCCATTCTATTCCAATTTTTCGACTCTGAGCTAGGCCCAACGCCATCTACGGCCTGTACTGATGAGGTGCGTTCAAATTCCCCACCTGGGATACCTTCCAAAATTTAACCTTGGTTACTATTTTCTATAGTGGCCTGGTTTACATCGTGCACTTGATACTAAATAATAACTTTCTATTAGATAATCTTAATATTCACAATGCATATCAGCGACGCATTCTATCAATACAATACGTTTTGTTGATGAATATTATATTAGCTTAATATATCGTTGTTTATATATATCGTCGATATTAAGATTATCTAATAGAAAGTTACTATTTAGTAAGCGTAATGGCTCCTGCACACAGGACGCGGTAATGCTTGCCGCGCGACGGAAGTGCGCGCAACAGCCAATCAATATGTTGTTTTTCCGTAAGAGCTAGAAGGTTATTACGGAAAGCAGCATATTGATTGGTTGTCGCGCGAACTTCTGCCGCGCGGCAAGCGTTACCGCGTCCTGTGTGCAGGAGCCATATTAAGTGTACGATGTAAACCAAGCCAGTATACATAAAGCCCATATCAGACTACCGACTGCACAGGCCGACCCGACTACCGACGGGAGCGGTGCACTTGGACACGGTGCATTTGGACACAGCCAATCACAGCACCGTGTGATTAGAGACATTTGTAGGGTCCCTTGGAACAGCGACTTGTGATTGGACTGTGTCCAATTGCCCCGTATCCAACTGATATACACCCGTCAATCGGGACGCTCCCCAACCCTGACAGCACCGGACGTAGTGAGCACGTCACTACGATGTAGTAACGTCGTAACGACGTGCTTGTAATGTTCTTGCCACGTCTGTGCAGACAGGGACTTTTACAGAATTTTTTTGATGGTTTATTTAAAAAATATATCATGCTTCAATTTTGATAAAACTTAATATAATCTGGACGATCGACTAAATTAATTCGCATATGTAAAAGAACAGTATTTTATTAACATGATGGAAAAATGTCATTATCTGCTGTTTTATTGCAGTAATTTTCTATACAGTCCTTGGTAGAAAATTAATTTCGAATTATCGTGCCGGTCTCTCTTACATTATTTATACGCTAAACGATTTCGTCTATATTTTTAAAAGGCAAACAAACTATAAGATTTTTCTTTCTTAAACTTGAAGTGGGCAATATAAAGCGCTTTTTATCAAGTGAGGAATTGGCGTAGTGTCTAAGACGACGGAGGATTATCCAAAAGATGTCTTCAGTTGGGAACGTTCCGATTGACTACGGTACGATTGGACATAACCAATCGATGATAAGAATTATCTAGTGAATTACTAGGTCGAACCAATCATTACAATCTATGTCCAATCGTACCGTGGTCAATCGAAACCCACTCCTTCAGTTTAAGTTCGAATCTCACCAGAGAAAATCTTAAAAATTATGAAAAAATAATATAGAAAAACTTTTTTTTCATAGTATTTTATGAGTATTTATGAGAAAGCGCTTATTCTATGAGTAATTATAAAAAATTATGAGAAAATTTAATTGAAGAACCTACAAAACGACAGGATCTGCGCGCAATCTACTGCCAACCTGCCATCAGAGTCTGTCGACAAGCTCTGCGCGCAATCTGACGCCAGTCTGTCGTCAGAGTCTGTTCGCAAACCCTGTCAACAGTCTGACGGCAGATTGAGGACGCAGATGTCTATGGATCTGTCGACAGATCCTGTCGACAGTCTAACGTCAGTATGCGCGCAGATTGCTTACTGAGTAAAAAAGCAAAGTTGACCTCGACCTGACCTTGACGGCGCCATCCAAAGTCAGACTGACCAGATCAGTGAATAGAGCCGATATTCATAGTCGAATCTTATTTCAAAACCGTCTTAAGTAATGTCTTAAGGGGAGATATACACCTAGCATGGTCGAAAAAATCGATTTTTTTTTTTGCATTTTCTTGATGCTTGAGGTCTCAAGAATATCTGGTTAAAATTGCAAGTCAATATCTCGATAAATAACGAAGTTACAGCCGAGAGAGTAAACCGTCTCCGAGAGCGCGCCGTACCGCCTGTTTTGCGGCCGAGCCGAGAGGCAGCGACCCTTCGAAGAGAGCGTGTCTAGACCTGTTTTACGATTCTATTGTGTTTTCGGGCGTGGTCGGGTCCAGGTATAACGGAAATATCACACGACCGTTATTCTTTGCCGGAAATTGGACGCGTTTCGTCAGTAGCTTGCCGTTCGTGCAACTGTGCGTTACAGTGAGTTTTCGTCTGTGAATACATATTCTGAGGAAAATGGATAACAGATATAAAGGTTCTCGGGAAGCTCATCAATCCGGATCTTTTCGCAAAGATCGAAGCAAGAAGAAGATACCGCCCAAAAATCGAAATACTGCCGAAAAAGTAGAACTTTCCGACGAGAATATTAGTTCCAGTGCCAAAAAATTGAAGACTGATCGTGAGACATCCGCACCAGAAGATCCAAACATCGGGTATCGA